TCTCACGCTCGAATTGGCGAATTTGAACTCCGCGAGCGTACTGCGCCGCGGACATGGGTGCGCAGCGCCGAAGGCGGATTTTCCGCCTTGCGTGGTACACTCGTTCGTATCGCTCCTCAGCCAATCCTCCTTTGCCTCGGCGCGTGTGTCCGCATGTCGGACAAAAGTTCATATCCCGCCTGCACGCAGTCGAACTCCTCGGCGGATTCTCCGCCGGCGCGGAACTTCACCCTCCTGTGCATAGGCGCTCGCCTGTGCGCCGGCGAAGTCCGTCCGCGTCGATGCGCTGGCGCGGAAGGCGTTGACCGCGGTCAACCGCCTCCGTCCAGATTGTCCGTTTGTTGCCTCTCCGTCGGCGCTCTCGTCGCCGCAACTCCGTCCGTCCAAGAGCGCATCCATTCGTCCCGTCCGTACAGTCCGCACGGTCCGTACGGATTTTACTATTCTCGCGGCTCCTTGCTCGTCCGCGGCGTTGCGCTGGCGCAGAACGCGCCGTACAGTTTCTACCTCACAAGGCACGTTTCTAGGGCCCAAGGCGGATTTCCCGCCGACGCCGAAGCGCCTGTGCACAGGCGCACGCCTGTGCGTAGGCGAACTTCGCGCCTACCTCAAAACCCTATTTCGCCTGTGCGCAGGCGGACTTCCCTCGTCCGCGCATAGGACAAAACTTCTCCGCCTGTGCGCAAGCGAAGAGCTGAGTATCTTACAACCTTCATAACTCCCGGAGTCCTTATCCGTTGTTGGCGTTCTTGGGCTCGTTGGAATCAGCGCATCGAGTTCTATCCAACGAAACCCTAACTAAGTCAAGGCGTCCAGGGGTTGACCTAAATATGAAGGATTTCCCTACCGCCGCGGACGCAGCTCCGAAGGCGGGTTTTGCGCCTTGCGCCGTAGGGATCCTATCTGCAGAGCTCGCAGGGAGGATGGTGCCCTTCCTTACCGCTGCACCCAACTCCTAGATTCTACGAGGTCCCTCAAGAATCTCTGCGATCTTCCGAATTCACTCTGTTTTGATGCACCGAAGGCTATTTACATTGCTACCGGGGTACAGTTTTCCAAAAATGTTTTAATTTCCTCAAAATTACCAAAAGTGGGGTACCACATGCTCCCCTCCTCGATTGTGAGCGCCCACGCAAACACTCACATGTGGTATTTCTTCAACCGCCACCCGTTCACTCGGGTGCCTAACAAATCGCCGGCCAGATCCGCAAGTTGGATGGATCCATTCGAGAAGACTTCGACAACCCTGTAAGGTCCCATCCATCTTAGGTGCAGTTTGCCTGGGAATCTGGCATGCCTGTTGTCGTAGAGCAGTGCCAAATCACCCGCCTGCAGGAGTACAGGTTTGATCTTTTTATCGTATCTCTCCTTCCGGCGGAGCTGGATTTTCCTGGTGCGATCCTCGGCTTCTCGTCTCCTCTCATCCAGCAGCATGACCTCCTGTAATCTGTAGAGCTGACTCTCCTCTACGCTCATCCTTTGTAAATCCAACGTTCGTTGGGTGGGTACTTCGAACTCGATCGGGAGGATCGGGTGTTGACCATACACTAGAAAGTATGGTGTCTGTTTGGTCGTAATTTTCTCAGCTGTCCGGTACGCCCATAGAGCGGCTGCTAACTTCGTATCCCAGTCGTGAGCGTGATTCACCGTGACTTTGAGTAGTATTTTACACAGTAGACCATTGGACTTCTCCGTCAATCCATTCGCCTTGGGATCGTATGGAGTAGTCTTCCGGTGTTTGATGTGGAAATACCGTGTCAGATCTTCGATGATCTGATTCAGAAAATGCGTGCCCCGGTCGCTGACTAGCTCTAAGGGACACCCGTAGCGCGTGATAATCGACTCGAACAAGAAGGCTGCCACTGTGGCTGCATCATCCCTTCTGGTGGCCCTGGCCTCCACCATTTTGGTGGCGTAGTCTGTAGCTACCAGAATGTAGCGCCTTCGTGTGTTTCTAGTCACTGGTTGTATTGGCCCTACAAAGTCAATGTCCCACTTTTCGAAAGGCCGGTCGGGGTTACGGAGACAAGAGCGCCGACGGAAAGGCAAGAGAAATGGACAGACATGACGGAGTCTGTTGACCGCGGTCAACGCCTTCGGACAATTTTGCGGTCCAAGTACCTCAGCAGAGGTACTACCTGCTCACAGAGCGCCGCCGTCGGCGTTCTAACAATTTCTTCCTCCTCCTCCTCAGTGTCTCCCGATCCCGACATTGCTTCCGTGGATCCTCCTTCGTCATCATCCGAAGGAAGGATTTTGGTCGCTTTTGATTGCCTTGGCGACTGGCCCGAGTGGGGCTACGAGTGGTCTGCGGGTACTGCCGCCGATGGCACTCTTGCAGCTTCGCTGCTCCCCGCTAAAATGTCCAAGGCGGTGGGTGAATGTGGCCGTGCCACATCCCCATCATCCGCCTGTCGGGCGTCAATCGTCGCTCCTTCGCCGCCGACGTCCGCCGCCGAAGGCAATCGAGTGGAATGCGTCTGCGCGGGGTGTAATTGTGCATCGCGCACTCGAATTTTGTCCCGCGGACGTACAATCTGCTCCTCCGTTAGGTCCTGCTCGAGGGCTACGTCTGGCCTGCGCGTAAGCCCTTGACCCGAAGGCGGATCTTCCGCCGGCTCCTTCCCCTTCCTACGTTGTACCGGAGGGGTGAATCCTGCCTACTCGTAGGCGTCCGCCTGTGCGTAGGCGAACTTTCTCTGCCTACGCGTAGGCAGAGGTCCACGTCTGCAAGAGGTCGCCTATCCGCTGGAAGTCGCCTGTGCGTAGGAGGAACACTCGTCCGCATTGCACGTGGTAACTCCGGAGGACCTTGTCCCGAAGGCCCCTGGCCCGAAGACCGCCTCTCGTCTGCGGACGTCCGCGCACTCCCGTCCTTCTCCGGGGACGCACTTCCCTTCTCCGTGGCGATCGTCACCGTGTCCGCGCTGCTGGCTGGTAACACAAGCCTGCGCGCCTTCTGCTTCGGCCGGCTGCACACTTCGTGCAGTGGCCGCTGTCGTATGGGAGCAGTGGGTTCTCGATGTTGCTCCTCCTCTGGTTCCTCTCTCCATCTCCGCTTCCGCGGCACTCTTGCTGCGGGTGTGCTCCTTCCCTTGAGTGTCACCGTCGCTTGGGACTCACCGTGGATCCCTGTCAAAGCTATTTCAAAAGTAGTTATGCTTATTTTCATGGCAATGCTCTTTTTGGCAATTTTCTCGTTGTGGATTCTTTATTAGATCTCAAAAACTTCCAAATGCATTGATCTCGTCAATATCTCTTTGACAGTGTCAATTCCGAGCAACTCCAAGGCTTGCTAACATTGGTCTTGTGGCACCGAGATCATCCAGCCTTCCACCACAAGATGTGACTCCTAAAATATTTATAACAGATGTGATCATAGATACTCGCGGTAAAGACAATGTCTGAAGCATTGTTTGAAGCTTCCTAACCCATAGGCTATGACTCCTAAAATATTTAGAGTAGACGTGAACATAGATACTCGCTGTAAAAACAAGTTCTGAAGCTTCCTATCTTCTGATATTTCCTATCACAAGGTCGAAACAGCTGCAAAGTCTTAAGAAGCTTTAAAAATAGCTACGGTGTGAGCAAACATCAAAAGATGAAAACACATTGAACGAAACTTGCGATACCTTCCACCATAGGGTGTGACTCCTAAAATATTAAGGACTGATGTGATCATAGATACTCGCGGTAAAGACAATGTCCGAAGCATTGTTTGAAGCTTCCTAACCCATAGGGTGTGACTCCTAAAATATTTTAGAGCAGAAGTGAACATAGATACTTGTTGTAAAAACAATATCCGAAATTTTCTATTTTGTGATATTTCCTATCACAAGGTCTAAACAACTGCAACTTACTAGAGAGTACATCAAAATACTTTCAACAGCCATATGAGACTTACTACAATACATAGATTGTATTTCACGAATAATAAATGCACATAGAAGAACTAAGTGCAAAACATAGAATCCGTGTAGATCTGATGAGCACTCACTCGCCTGGTCAGCATCGTAGCAAAACAACTGAGGAAACTACATGAGACTTGCGTTAAGGCTTTTGAGATAATTGCCTATACGCAACAGAACTTTCTCTAAGTCGCTGTCCAGCATTAATGGTCTTCTAATCGGCACGGTACCAATATGCTCTTTACTTACGCCTAATTTTAGTATATCTTGTGGGTGCAATGCATTATGAATAATTCGTGTCCTGCATTTTATCCTTTTAATACTCTAGTATTCTTAAACCATTCACCAACTACGATTCTCTGGATATCAATAACTCTCAAGGCGTCTGCTGATCTCAGCGACATGAGTCATGCGTTCCATGAAGAAGAATATCAACGTTTGGATACGAGAGAGATCTGCTTTGCGTTTGACTTTCGTTTCAGACGCCCAAATACACAATCGATAGAAAAAAATGAGGAGCCAAGAGTACCGGAAAAAGTTGGTAAGATCCCTAAATCTGTTAAAAAAAGACGAACGTGACCTGTACGTCAAGAAAAGTCTCCAGGCGGAATTCACGGCCAAGGTAGGAACTTCCAATATTTTCACCGGCTGTATTTGTTCTCTCCTCCACTAGAAATTCGTTTGTCCACCTGCTACGAATTCGTCGTTATTTTTGTTTCTCCACGTTTGTTCCGAGTTCCATTATGTTACTCAAGTCGTCGCTCAGTTGTCTGTGTCTGAACCCAAGAGTCCTATTTTGTCTCGTCTTCTGTAAGATCTTTCTCATACTCTCTAACTATGTCAGATGGTAGTTGACTTTTTTTGACTCCAACAGGCCGTCAGCTACCTTAATTGCTTAGCGAACAGCTGGTTTGCTATCGAGGCAAAACTTCGAGCAAATACGCGACCTGAATCACAACGTGCTGTGACGTTTCTACCTCATTCCTCCCCAACTCTTTGCTTCTGTAAGCTTTTCCTCAGTCGAAGACGCATTCGTGTGTTGTTGCTTCCGCTGCTGAAATTTCGGCTCACGTCTTCCGTTCGTTCGTGCAGATATTTCAAGGACCAATCTCGTGCATTTGGAAAGTACACGCTCACACTAACGATTGCCCGAGGTCCGAAAATCTACCGCACATCCAACGGATTGACCTCAGTTGGATTCAAAATGGAAAGTAAGGGGAAAGGGCGGCTGAGGTCTGCAGCTGAGACTCTTCTTGCAAAGCCGCTGAGCTCTGCACCTGAGAATCGACTTCGAAAGCGTATGAGGCCTGCAGCTCCGCAAATCAACAGCACATCCAACGAATTGACGTCAAATGAACGCGACGTAGTGAGTTTGAGTCTGCGGATTAGGTCCCAACCTTTTTCTCTTGTTCCGGAGGGGCTGAAGTCTGCAAATGTGACTCTACTTCCGGAGGGGCTGAGGTCTGCTGTGACTAAACTTCCAAAGCGGCTGAAGTCTACAGCTGGGACTCTGATTGAAAAGGGGGTGCGGTGGACATTCCACTCAATTGTAACTGTAACAGTAAGCTGATGAAAACCCAAGCTTCTGTCTCTTTCTCTATGTATTCCATCTATTTTGCCAACAACAGCCGCTTTTGCAAGAAAAACATAACCCATCACAATCGTCACCAGAGCCCAGTCACCTTATCATTTGTTGTACCATTGCTGAGCAATAGTTCCCACCAGCTCCGCGAACATTCACTGTAGTGATTGTCCAGATTCGTGTCAAAGTTGTGGGTGCAGTGGAGTTCAGGTTTTTACTTTGAGTTTTCATTTTTGTTCTAGAATGCTATCCAAAGCCTTACCTGTGTCTCAGTGAGAAGATCATCTTTTTAGTTTCATCAGCTAATCCACTCCAGTTCAGTCGGGAAAATATCTAGAGATGGGATCGCTCACTCTTAAGACTCGCTCGATTCTTCTTCTCGTCAGATATCCTATTTGCCTCTTCGTACAAACTCATCTCCACAATACTAAGCCGAAGAGACATCTGTGTTTGAATATATTTATGCAGAAGTATTCGCAGATACCGGGTGAATCGGAGTTTGCAATTCCAGAGGTAATAGTATTGCAGTTTATCCAAGAAACTAGAGAAGTGAAGTACAAATGCTCGAGCTCAAATGATATCAATTTTCAATTTCGTGTCAAAGTTGTGGGTGCAGTGGAGTTCAGGTTTTTATTTTGAGTTTTCATTTTTGTTCTAGAATGCTATCCAAAGCCTTACCTGTGTGTCGGGGAGAAGAAACTCTTTTCAGTTTCATCAGCTAATCCACTCCAGTTCAGTCGGGAAACTATCTAGAGATTGGATCGCTCACTCTTAAGACTCGCTCGATTCTTCTTCCCGTCAGAAGTCCTATTTGCCTCTTCGTACAAACTCATCTCCACAATACTAAGGCGAAGAGATATCTGTGTTTGAATATATATATGCAGAAGGATTCGCAGATACAGGGTGAATCGGAGTTTGCAATTCCAGAGGTAATAGTATTGCTGTTTATCCAAGAAACTAGAGAAGTGAAGTACAAATGCTCGAGCTCAAATGATATCAACTTCCAATTTCGTGTCAAAGTTGTGGGTGCAGTGGAGTTCAGGTTTTTATTTTGAGTTTTCATTTTTGTTCTAGAATGCTATCCAAAGCCTTACCTGTGTGTCAGTGAGAAGATCCTCTTTTCAGTTTCATCAGCTAATCCACTCCAGTTCAGTCGGGAAAATATCTAGAGATTGGATCGCTCACTCTTAAGACTCGCTCGATTCTTCTTCCCGTCAGAAGTCCTATTTGCCTCTTCGTACAAACTCATCTCCACAATACTAAGGCGAAGAGAATTCTGTGTTTGAATGTTTATATGGAGAAGGATTTGCAGATACGGGGTGATACGGAGTTTGCAATTCCAGAGGTAATAGTATTGCAGTTTATCCAAGAAACTAGAGGAGTGAAGTACAAATGCTCTAGCTCAAATGATATCAATTTTCAATTTCAGTGCATCCCATATTGAGGAGAGTTTTTGGTTGAAGATTGTCTTCAGTAAATTTCATACTCAAACTTAGAATAGAACCAAATGTTGCCATTCGTGCGAGTTTGATCAATTATGCGGCGCATTTCTAACCCAGAAATTCACTATTTGTACACTCTCCAGAATACAAAATCGACAAAAGTGGTCTACATGCCATCGAAGTACTATACAAAGCTAACAGTAAACACTATCTTCGGAGGTAAATACGCCTTAGATGTCGAGCCGGGGGATCACGTCTATTCGTACGTCAATGTTTTGGGACTGCGTGTATATATATACTCGCATCACGGTAAGCTCAGCTCAAGTCCTGCGAAATGAATTTCGTCCAATTTGATGTCGTCTCGAGAGTCGGTGTTATGCAAGTGGTGCCAGTTGTCTTGGACCTAGCATAGGATGGCCAGAAGTTGAATGTACAACGTTCCTCCGTAAAGGGAACTTCTAAACAATAGCATGACGATCAGGGGATGTGCTTCTGGTTATTCTGGTGTTGTTTGCACTGTGTTCGTCGCTTCTTGGACTCCTCCGTGGGAATGTCTCGTCGAAGTTGGCTGCAAAATTTGGGCTGACTTCAGAGCTTTCTAACCTCACTGCTGCTCCTTCGAAGCCTTTCTGGGAGAGGTTGAGAAGGTCTAGACCCGACCTTCAAGGTTCAACCCAGGGAATCTTGCAAAGTTGAGGACAGCTATCTGACCTCCTATGCTGCAATCACGGGAGGTTGGAATGCTCGAAGACCTCAGCGTTTCTCTTCCACGTTTAGCGGCTTCAGCCCAGCAGACCCTAAGCTTTGCCTGTGTATGTTCTTGTAGGCATCTTCGACGTTGATGGACTCATTATCCATAATGTGGCAGACAGAGAACGTTACAACCGGGATTTGAAGAAATGTCGGCTTGAAAACTGCCCTACTATTCGCGGTAAACGAAAATGTGGCATTGTTAAGACATGCATCGAATGTTTCAAGGGGAGCCGTGCGCTCCACGTGTACGGTTATAACAATAAGAATTATCGCTATTGGAGGCCTATTGATGGAGGTCAGTTCATGATAATGACTGTGTCAACCTATTTGTGATCCAATCGAAGTAAAGATACGAGACTGTTGGACCTATCGCTCTTTGACTTACCAGATGTCTCGGTTATTGCTGCTTTGAAAAGTTTGTCATTGTGCTTGACGATAGATTTCCGGATTGTACCCCATTGCAGGTACCACTACACATTTAGAAAAGAGTTCTGATCGAGAGGAGATTTTGAAAAGAGCTCGTGACAGCCTCGATAAGAACGACTATGGAGAATTCAACCTGCAGGACAATAACTGCGAAGGCTTTGCGGTTTTTTGCTGCACTGGGCAGAGGGGGATGGGCAATCAAAGTTGGCGGGTGGGAGACTTGATGAACTACGTTAAGCATGTCCCATTCATAAGGAGAATCACAACGCAGATTGGCGATCATTCAGCATCATCATTAATCGTCAAAATCGGTCAATCATTCATCCTGAAACGACGCGTCTAATTATCCTAAATCATGTTGTTAGTAATTAGTTACCGAGTGTAGTATAGTGATCAGGATTAGATTAGGATAATGTTCTGTTAGATCTCTTGTGTCTTCTTCTGTGGTCGATACCCTTCTCGAACATCTTATCCCTTTGCTACTCAAGGGACCTCTCTCTCTCTAATCTTTCATCTAGTTTAGATTTTACTTTCAACATGGTATCAGAGCGAACTCCTTCGCTATTCTTCTTTTGCTAGCGACCGACGATTAGATATTTGCCGGTCTTGTTCCTTTCGGTAAGCAGATGCCTTTCTGTTAGAAGAGAACTTGTTGTTCTAGGACCTTAGCGAGCAATGGACAAAGTTTCAAACTTTTTCGAGTTTACGAAGCTTTCCGGGCGCGACAACTATCTCAATTGGTTTTATGTGAGCCGAACCTTCCCGCCCTTCAGCGTTTGTAGTCCAGGTGGGGATTCGAGCTCCCATAATCTAACTTCGCTGAACTCAAGCCATGTGCTCTAAGTGTATCTAAGACAACGAGATCCTAAACACTTGCTCTTTCACAGACAAATTATCCAGAATTGAAAATAATAACTTGCTGTCTGCTATTTCCACAAGAGCAGTAGACAAGCTCTTTGTTACATAAAGATCTAACCCAACTCTGGGTGACTTTCTCAATACCACAGCCGCTGTGGTCTATCCTAGCTCCGAGTCCCACTCCCGATTCCTACTCAGATTTCAGTGTCGATTTCTCAGCTTCCACCTTCAGACCCCACCAGATTCCTCTCTCAGATTCAACTCTCCCTTTTAAGTTTCAAATTCAGATCCCGACTGTCAGATTTCAGTCTCAGATTTCACTTCACTCTCAGCTCCCATTCTCAGATCCCAATTTAATTTCACTCTCAAATACGACTCTCCACCCACAAGAGTTTGTTTCCTCCTACTTCGAACTCTCCACACTCCCTTCCTAATTCTCACCACTTCCCTGCGAAAATCACCCACATCCACACTCTACTCCTCCTACCGATCCCACCAGCGTCTCCCCACAATGGCACACCACACGATCCTAGCTCGCAGGCCGAATAATCCTCTCCAACGTCCAAGGGCCGAGTCACCCACAGACCGCGTGAATGCCGTTCCCGCAATGATGGGTAACAGCCTGCTTCCCATGCGCGACTTCATGCCCCGCCGTCCTATTTCCCACGCTTGACTTCACGCCGCCGCTACTGCCACACCTGTGCAGTCTTCATTCATGACCACGCCAACATCCGCCGTCCGAAATCTTCTTCCGCGCACCGCCGAAAGCATCCTCCCGCCGAAGACACTCTTCCGCACCTTTGCCTATCTATAACAGTTACCCCCGACGCTTATAACTCACAGATCCCTGCTTTGTTTGAAACGTTCTTGGGCTCGTTGGAACGAGCGTGTTGAGCTCTTTCCAACGAGTCCCTAACTAAGTCAAACCGTTAAGAATTGAAATGTTATCACTGTTTTACTCTTCCGCCAAAGGCGTTTGCCTATGCACAAGCTTCCTACTCGCAACTTGCCTATGCGCAGGTTTCCTACTTGCAACTCGCCTACGCGCAACTCCTTGGGCCGAAGGACCTTTTATCTGTTATTACCGGAGGCCTCTCTATCTATTATCGCCGAAGGCTTTTTGCCTAACCATGTCAGCCGCTTTCGACGCTCATAACTCAGTGACCTCTGATCCGTTTCACAAATTCTTGGTCTCGTTAGAACGAGCGGGTCAAGTTCTTTTGAACAAGACCCTAACTAAGTAAGGGCGTTACGAATTGAGAAAGTTATGACGATTTTACTCCCCGACAAAGGCCTCCATTGCCAAAGGCCTGTTATCTGTTATCGCCGAAGGCGCCTGCGCCGAAGGCACACGTGTCTTCATCTTCCGGCCTGCTATCTACGTCTGCACCTCCGGTTCGATCCGCGCCAAAGGCGTTTCCGCCGAAGGCGTCCGCACGATGTTCGCCTGATCCGCCTACTCGAAGTTGGCGGATCTGGCCGACTTGAAGTTGGCCTACTCAAAGTTCGCATGTTCGAAGTCGCCTGTTCGATGTCGTCCGCACGATGTTGGTCCGCACGATGTTGTCCTACCCGATGTTGGTCCGCACGATGTTGGCCTGCACGATGTTGGCCTCGCCGAAGGCGTCTTCCACCGAAGTCGTATCGCCGAAGGCCTGTTATCGCTGAAGGCCTGTTGTTGCCAAAGGCCTTTCGCCTAACCATATCAGCCGCTTTCGACGCTCATAACTCAGTGACGCCTTATCCGTTTCAAAAGTTCTTGGCTTCGTTGGAACGAGCGTTGCGAGCTCTTTCCAACAAGACACGAACTGAGTCAAGGCGTTACACATTGAAAACATTATGAGGGTTTCACTGTTTCTGTAATAACCCACTAAAGGCTAAAACTGCAAAATAGTGGTAGAAAGGTCGAACCCACAGGGACAGAGCAACACATAGGGTACAAAGTGTCACGTTTAACAGACTATTGAGGAGTTTGAATTCTCAGGCGACTGTCACTCCCAGAAATACTGCAAGTGTCCACTCGGAGCGCACTTGGAGGTCGCACAGTGCAGCGTAACACACACACACACACACCTGAAACTACAGAAACACAACCCAGAGATCCGTTAGGACCTCTACTCAAGATTTCAGGGGGGAAGTCTCTCAAGAGTACACTCAGCGAAACTGCGGGTAGTGACTTCCAACTCCGGCTTTTACAACACTTCCACTAGCTTGCTGCTAGTGTAGGAAACCCGGTTTGGACTGCCTACTTCGGATCGAAGTCACTCATACGCGGTGAACAACACTCTCAACTCACAAAACGCGCAGAGAACACAGGTCCGCACTGAAGGACTCACTGAGAAACATTCCAGTAACACAACAACAGTCTATTGAAGAGTTTGAATTCTCAGGCACTTGTCATTCCCAGAAATACTACAGGGGTTACCCTGAAGGCACCTGCTGCAGCGTAACCTAAATTTACAACCAAGGCTTACACAAAGTAGCAAAACTTCACTTTGGCATTAAGGGGAAAAATCCCGAAGGAGTACAATCAGAAAGAAACACTCGAAGGTGTAGGGGGCAAAACTGTTCAAGTATCTAACTAGTCACTGGCTCTAAACATCGGCAGTCACCCGCAGGTGCAGATCCGAACTACTCAAGTCTCTAACCAATGTGCTAGCTCTAAACATTCGGCCGAAGGCCTTCAGCTACAAAATGCGGAACGCTAAGTTGTAACTCCTCGTGCTTGGTGACAGAACTCAAGGACACAAACACGCAGAGGAAATGGATTCCTGATCTGCACTTCTGAGTTTGGGAAAGAACCCAAGGCAAAACGCCTTGAACTATTTTATATCTTCTAAATCCTAACTAGCACTACACTGCACTACGCTACACGCCTACACGGAACCACGCTACACTACACTCCGCGGAACCTGTGCTACGTCTCCTTCGCGACGGACTGCCGCGCACTAACCCCCTACCCTGCCAATCTTCCGCTCGACTGCGCAGTCCCAACCGCTGCAACGCCGCGGACACCTCCACTTCGAGGGTGGACATGGTATCTCGCGCCTTCGACAGAAAGGCGTCGAGCTTCTTTGCTACCTTCCGCCGACTCCTGCTGTCGCCTGTCACCAACCCGGCTGCGCGAAGTTCAAACTCACGTAGTGTGAGTTTCTCCTGCGCCGCCGGAATTGCAGGAAGAGCGGAGACAAAACCACGTCCTAGCAGCCGAGCTTGCGCGCCAGACGCGCGCCTTAGAAGAAAGTCAAAGAGCCCGCAAGGAGGATGAGGAGTTGTTGCGCAACTTGCAATCCGAGTGCTCGGATTTGAGGGGACAGCGAGCGGAGCAGTCCGGCGCGCAGGAGGCGCAGTACCGGATCAGCCGAGTGCAGTAGAATAGTTTGGTTTCGCGCAGATGCTGCGAGTAGTAGATAGGATAGCGTAGTGCTAGTTAGGATCTTTGAGGGTATAAAGTAGATCAAGGCGTTTTGCCTTGGGACTCTTCCAGTTTCGGAAGTGCAGATCAGGAACTCACTTTCTTGGCGTGTTTGTGCATTTTGGTCCTGGCACCACGTAGAGAAGCTGCAGCATAGCGAAGTTACCGTATGTTGTAGTTGAAGGCCTTCGGCTGAATGTTCAGAGCTAGCACCCGGTAAGAGACTTGAGTAGTGCGGATCTGCACCTCCGGGTGATTTCTGATGCTCAGAGCCGGCTGCGAGTTAGATACTTGAACAGTTCCCCCTTACTCCTTCGAGTGACATATCCTGATTGTACTCCTACGGGAAGTTTCCCCTGAATGCCAATGTGAATGTGGTACCCCACTTTTGGCAATTTTGAGGAAATTAAAACATTTTTGGAAAACTGTACCCTGGCAGCATTGTAAATAGCCTTCGGTACATCAAAACAGAGTGAATCCGGAAGATCGCGGGGATTCTCGAGGGATCTTGTAGAATCTGGGATTTGGGGTGCCGCAGTAAGGACAGGCACCACCCTCCCTGCGAGCTCTGCAGTTAGGATTTCTACGGCGCAAGGCGCAAAACCCGCCTTCGAAGGTTGCGTCCGCGGCTGTAGGGAAACCCTCCCTAATTAGGTCAACCCTCGGGCGCCTTGACCAAGTTAGGATCCCGTTGGAAAGAGCTCGACGCACTGATTCCAACGAGCCCAAGAACGCTTGGAACGGACGAGGACTTAGGGAGTTATCGCTACTGGAAGAAACGGAGGCGGTCGCCTACGGCGGAAGGAGTTCGCCACCGGCGCGAATTCCGCCTACGCGGAAGGGGGAATCAAGTTTTGTCCTATGCGCGGACGAAGGCGTTCGCCTGTGCACAGGCGAAGTAGGGTTAGGGAAGGCGCGAAGTCCGCCTACGCACAGGCGTTCGCCTGTGCACAGGCACTTCGGCGTCAGCGGAAAATCCGCCTTGGGCCCTAGAAATGCGCCTTGTGAGGTAGAAAGTGTACGGCGCCTTCCGCGCCAGCGCGGCGCCGCGTACGTCGGAAGAGCTGCCAGAGTAATCAAATCGGTACGGACCATGCGGACGGGAAGGGTGGATGCGCTCTTGGACGGACGGAGTTGCGGCGGCGGAAGCGCCGACGAAGAGACAAGAAACGGACAGACTGGACGGAGACGGCTGACCACGGTCAACGCCTTCCGCGCCAGCGCAGCGCTGCGGACGGAATTCGCCTGTGCACAGGCGAACGCCTGTGCACAGGAGGATGAAGTTCCGCACCGGCGGAGAATCCGCCGAGGCTCCTGCCTGCGCACAGGCAGGAGTTGAACTTTTGTCCGACATGCGGACACACGCGTCAAGGCAGAGGGGGATTGGCCGAGGGGCGGTACGAACAAGTGTACCGCGCAAGGCGGAAAACTCGCCTTCGGCGCTACGCCCCCATGTCCGCAGGGTAATACGCTCGCGGAGTTCAAATCCGCCAATTCGAGCGTGAGAGTTTAATCGACGACGGCGGAGCGTGAAGCCGCGCGTGAGAGCGAAGACCGTTCCAGCGTACAGCCGGCGCGGCCATCAAGTGAGACGTTCTTCACGACCAAGA